ATTAGCCAATCAGATCTTCTAAAATCACGGAATGATCTACAAAAATTAGCCAGTCGGAATGAAAGCCCGCTATGCTTCCTTTGTTCCGAAATTAGAAATGAGATTGGTGATGATAATCAATGCATGAGAACTTTACATAACAAAAAAAAAAAAAAATTTCACACGCTTTTTTTCTTACATATCTCTCTTTTTCGCGATAAAAAGTTTTTTTTACACGCTTTTTTTCTTACATATATCTTTCGTGTTTTTTCGCCAAGTTTATCCGAAGTGGTTATTTCTTATTAAGATAAGTGTTTCAATCTTTACGCACTTGTGTTCAGTTGCTACGCCTATTTAACCTTTCGTTTGAAAGATTCCCGTTTGGGTTCTTTCAATGGTAAGTATTTTATTTAGTCTGGTCTTATCTGGTACGGCCCCGTTCGATGGTGGTGGCGCCTATTTTGTGTGCGTAGGTAGCTCTCCGGCCTTAGCCTATGCCAGATAAGATTTTGCAGACGCACACATTCCTCCTGGCAAAGGCCCCTTGCCCTGGTTGGTGTAAGCATGAGGTTTTAATCCTTCCAGGGCCAAATCTCATTATGTTTCGTTTTTTACAAGCCAGGTTGTAAAAAACAATGAAACATTTCACCCCGCTGAGATATTCTTTGAATATCGATGATGACTTAACCCAGAGTTTTTAGTGAGTAGGAATCTCACACTTGTCTAGGAGGTAACTCCTAGTCGCCTATGCAAGGTTTTCTCTGGTTGAACAAAAAAAAAAAAAAAAAAAAAAAGTTATGGTAACTTAACTGCTATACTTAATTTTTATTTATTTTACATATTAACGCTAGCAATCCTTTGTTTTGACATTAGGTATGATTTTTTTTACGATTAATCAGATTAAACCCTCAATCACGTTTGAAATCACTTTTGAAATCTTTACCTACTGACGACGCGTGTTTTCTCAACATTTCTTACGTATTTCAGTAATAACGTGCAGGGATGTAATTTTGTCTAAATTAAGCTTAATTTGGGCCAAAATTCGGAATACCGCTTATAGGCGTTATTTTCGAAATGTTATCAAAAAAAGTAAATACCAGATAGGTTTTACTCATTTCATTTTATCGATATCCTACATAAGATTACTGGGAAAACCCATGCTCTGAATAGAGATCTGGCTACATTGAATAATTATTACCATGTTAGGCACTTTAACACCGACACAGATTTCGGATGATCCGAAAGACATTTAAATAAATAAATAAATACGATTAAAATAGTCAGATACAGTATCTATTGGATTTTTCAGATTCACAAATAAACTAGATTACACTATAACCCAAATTAAAAAAAATAAAACATTCGTTTTTGAATTGAAATAAATTTATATATATTTTTTAGTTGAAATTAAAATTAATGTATCTTCCTTCATAATCGCAATATGTAAATTCGTTAAAATAATCTTCTGCAAAGTGGGCAACTTGTCGAATTCGAACTTCGGAACCACTATAATGAGTACGTTAGTAAGGATCTCATTCGAAAATAAATAAAATTTGATGATTTGCTAGCACTTACTTTATAAAGACATGACGCATGAAATCGGTTTTTACATGTATTACACTTTTTGGTGGGCAATGACCGATCATCAAGACTCACTACAGAGTAGCAAATTGTACAATCTTCGACCCCGCGGAATCTAAGATTGATATTATTCTTGAATAAATTCAATGCCGCATCCAAGTTACTGTTCTAAATACGTTTAAAAATAAATATCATCATTAATCAGAATAAAGTAATAAGAAGTTACATCAATCAAATAGTGAATTAAAAGTAATACCTGGGAATTAACTATAGTCTGAACAGGTAATTTTGCCCATTTTAAATCTTTAACTTCTGTCGTACCCATCCTTTCAAGTGTGCTAAACTCTGCTTGGCGCAACGGGAAATTGTTTGGCATTCGAACACTAAGCTCCATTATATACTCATCAACATTAAAAGCAGCAATCACTTCATTAGAGCTACGAGCAACTCTGATAGCAAATTTTTCATCTTCAAGTTGCAACTTGACATCTTCACTTTGAAGCATATCAAGTTGGTCTTGGATTATTATCGGACTAAAATATTTCTCCGTGTAACTAAAAAAAAGTATATATTTAAAAACATAGTAATTAAAACGGATAATCATTAATGTAGGCATACCTATCGACACTGATACTCAATTGACGTTTTTTACTAAGGTCTGACCACCATGTTCTATTGTTGACATAGTAAAAACAAAAAAAAAGGTTAAAAATCTGATATTAATAACATTTAGCGATGAAGTTATTTAATTCCGACCTCACAATCGAAGGAATATGTCTAAGGGATCGATAGTATAAGTGTGCGCAAAGCAAAGGAAAACCTAATACAGCACTATATTGAAATTCAAAAGCTATATAAAAGAATATAAATGAAAACTTTACAATAACAGTTAATTTAGATGCAATATTAATATACAAAAACGTTTAATAATACCTTCAATATAGAATTCTCTAACATCCCATTTTGACAAATTATAAGGCTTTGTTTGTCCCACATGACCTAGTGTTTCAAATATTTGGTAGAAGAGTTTTGAGCTAATATCCATCTCTTTAACGCATGAGATAAGCTGTGATTTGAAATTTGGTGTCTACAATAGAAAAGCAGAGAAATCAATATTTACTACAATTGAACCTTATATATACATTTTATATATATAATTACAGAATGATTAAAGTGGTCAAAAATAAGCATCCAAGCAAGTAAATATCCAAATTTTTTATGTACAACCTATAAAAAGATCAAATAGATGAGTGTAAAGAATCTAGTGTAAAGAATAAACAAATATCCAAAAAACCATACGAAGACGTACATAAGAATCAGGATTTTCTGTATGCATTAAGTTTAAATAATCACTTTGATGCATTTCAATTAGCGTGGACTTCAAGCCCTGATCAAATTGTACGGAGATCGAATCGTCTATGTAAAAGAAAAGGCTCAATGATTCAATCAAAGTGAAAACGTAGCTAACTATCATGCTGTTAAAATCCGATTTACCTGGAGTTCCGAGAAGTTCAAACCCTTCAGACAATACTTTTTCGTTAACCAAGATATGTGCGAGCTTGTATGCACATTTTTGGATTCCCTCATGAGGAATAAGTAACAAGGCATAAAGCTAGAAAAGGTAATGGTAATAATAAAGTAAATTGTATAATTGGATATAACAGACAAAAATCATTTTATAATAACATACCTCATCTTTCTTATGCACAAGAATTTCTTTTGGAAGATCATGACATGCTTCACATAAAATTTCCAAATATGCACAGTATTGATATGAAAAAATCTCGTCCCGATGAGCTATAAAAATATTTATAAATAAATATTAAATGATAACCAAACATAAGTCTTATAAAAAGAAATACAATTAAACCTTTTTCTCGGAACAATAATAAAGATAATTGATGATAAAGTAAAGGTTTATAGGTAATTAGCTTGGAAGACAAACTATTGTCTGTGTCTTCTGCAGAGCTATCCTATAAATTACGCATATAAATGTGAATAATGATGAAAATTTTTTAAAATTGATAAATTATACTTAAACATACAGAGTGAATGTCATTTTTATTCATAGAATACGCAGCTATGTTATTTAGTCGACAGAATATATGAATTGCTTCATATAAAAGTTCTAATCGTGAAGTTTCCTACGAACAAAATTAATATAAATTGAATCAGATATTTCAAGGTTCCAGATATATATATGTATTTAAATTTTAAACATACTTGTAACCAATATTGAAGGAGTTCAAAAATAAAGCTCCAATGATTTCCACAAAGTTCTTGTACAGTAGTTACAAGAGAGTGCAAAAGTTTGGCAATCAAAATATGAATCGAGGAAGACGTGGGCATAGACCAGACATTTGGATCTATAATATCGCGCCATTCCTGAATTCTAATTAATAAATTAATACTTCTATCTGAAGATAAAAAAATTTCATCCTCCTTTGAAGCTATTAACAAACAAAGACACGTCAACCCTGGAACGAGCAAAAGTGCATAAAAATATTAATTATATTAATAACAATTCACCAATTATGTTTCATTATACCGTCATACCATTATTGATCTCTAGACTTTCTGTGTGAAATATTTCCACTGGATCTAAACTGATCAATTTTACGGCAAAATCGTTTTGGAAATATTTATATTTTGTGGAAGCACCAAGAAAAGTTTTCAGCGATAAAATAAATGCCATTTTTGTTACTAAATTCACTTAAAAAAGTAATATAACAAATAAATTAATTTGATAATAAATTAAATTTGCACGTAAATTGCTTTAACTCACTATGTTCTGATTTTATCACATCTAAAAATTCTTCAGCTTGTTTGAGGGAAATACTCGCTGCAGCAACTACTTCTGAGCACAAAATATGTAAAACCCTCGCCCAATACACAGAACTCTCTCCATGTGATCTTTTTACTGCTTCACAAAGTAAACCTGATATGCCATTATGTTGAACATTGTGGGAAATCATAGTAGAATTTAGGTTGTTTAAAATGAATTCAACGTCCAACTGTCCGTTTTGTAACATTTGCAAAGTGTAGTTTTTGACAATCAAACGAGCATCCACCAAAAATGCTTTGAATCCACGATAATCACTCTCCTCTACATTAAAGGCATCCCATAAATGGTGATCACTTTTACGGGAACGACGAATGTCCGTACACAACACAGATAAAAGTAATAATTCCAAAAGAATTCGATTACAATTTGAATATGATGTATCATTCTGCGTATCTATCTTATTATCACTTCCAAAAAAGAAAGAAACCACACCAATTTTATGAATAAGTTCTATCAAAAAGAGGCCTAAGCGTCCGTAAACACTTAAACCATATGAATCATAAGCAACAATAGTTGCTTGGTCATTATTTTGTTGACCATTTCGCTGACCAATATTTAACGGTAGTATCATTGGATCGATGATACTTAGAGATGGGTCAATTGAAGTAAGAAAAGGTTCACTGAGTTCGCGCCATAACTCATTTTCTATATGAAATGACTTGATAATTTCCTGCGATTTTAAACAATCATTTTCAAAAAATGAACATAGCTTCTTTACACGTAATGCAAAATCTGTAGGACTATATAAGAACGAATAAGCCATTAAATTGTGTATAACTGAGGATTTAAATAGGAACATCAATTGATTATACCTTGCAGAATAACGAACATTTAGTAATGATGATTTTATTTGTCGTGATACGTTGTTTATTAAGATAGCCTCTCGAGGATGAGATCGTGATGATATTACAATTCGATCCCAGCACTCCTGGGACAATTGCTGAATATTATTTATAACCTCTGTGTTAAAACCTTCATGGGGACTTACAAAGGTTAGC